GGGGCATGCAGGCAGCCAATCAATGATTCCCTCTCATCATTGATGTTTCTCTCTCTCTCTTCCTCTCCCTTCCTCTCTGAAATCAATAAAAATATATTTTTAAAAAATGAACATATTTTGAATTGGTCCAAGAAGATGCTTTCCTAGTCAGCCTAAGAAAACACTTCCAAGCCCTGAAAAGGGAGGAACTTCATCACCTGTCCAGTGAGAACCCTACCCAGGGAGGACTGGCAGCCTGAGAACCCTTTAGAAAGGTTGTTCCCCTGGAGGCAAAAGGACAGCCACCTCCTCCAAACCCACGTGGACAGCCTGGGGTTCGAGTCTCCTACCTGACTGATGTGGGGGAAGCCGCATTCCTGTTGGTGTAGTTGACTAAGGCATTGAAGGACTGGTTCACCCATTGCCAGAAGATGATCGCTGGCGTCGTCCTACCAGTAATCGAGGTCCGGAAAGGAGAGGAGAATGGAAGGGAGGGCTTGGTATACACAGGTCAAACCGTGTTAACAGTTCTTCCCCAAACTGCTCCCATGTTCTATACACCTGGGCTTTTGTACAGTCTTGCCCCTCTTCCTGGAACACACACACACACACACACACACACACACACACACACACACACTCCCTCACTCGCATTCACACTCACACTCTGTTCCATCCATGGCTAAATCCTGCCCTGTTGAGAGATTACTTCCTCCTTGGAACCTTTTTGACCCTTCCCCTGCCCTTCCTGAGACGAAGTCATCCCATGCTCCCAACTCTTAAAATCCCATATTCTCTCCTCAACCTACCACTTAGCAAGCTGGACTGTAACAGTTCACTTACTTCTTGGTCTCTAACAAAACTGGAAGCTCCTTGAGGGGAAGGAAGGACTAAAGTCTTTATATTCCTAACAGCTGGGGCCCAAAGTCTGGCTCAATAACTAGACAAATAAATGCATAGGGAGGCGGGAGAAGGAAGAGAGGAAGGGGGAAGAGTCACACAGCCAGAAGCTACAACGTTTATTCTCTCCCCAACTGAGCTGAAAGGGCCTTCCTATTTTTTTCCTGGGATATTACATTATAAAATGCATTAAATTCATTGTTAATATAAGCACTTTTTAAAGAGCAAATTAGTATCGTGCATTCACTGAGCATTCTAGAAAGGACTGCCTTAGTTAAAACCCAGGTACCAATACTTCCTGGCTGTGTGAGCTTGCACAAGTTATATAACCTCTCTAGAACCTCAGTTCCTCATCTATAAAATGGAGAGGTAATAGTACCTCTCTGTAGGACTGTTGTGAAAATTACATGAGGTAACACATTCAAAGAATGTAACACAGTGCCTAGTATCGGGAAAGTTTCAATAAAGATGGCTATTATTATAATATGGCTCCCTGGCTAGCAGACCCAAGTGGCTACACCTCCCATCGCCTTGCTCCCAAGTCCCACCTGTAGAACTGGAGCATGAAGCCTGTGATGATCATGCCGCCGGGAACCTGGAAGGACATCCGTCCAATGACATTCATCTTCTCCCCGGTGTCAGGGTGGAAGGCAGAGTCATAGAGCTTTTTGGCATATAGCAGCTGCTCCACTTGAGTCCCTGGGGGCACGACCCCCATCCTGTCACCCAAGGACAGAGTTACCCCCTTGGCCCCCGACTCCAAGTCATCCTGCTCTAATTTCTCCCTCCTCCCTGAGACTTCTGCCTGTACCCTCATCTTCAGTTTCCACCTCCTCTAGGGAACCCATCCAAGTTGCCCCAGTGCCTCCAACCCCCTTCCCCTAACCATTCACCTGCTTTTCTCCACCATCATCTTGGCCCAATCCAGCTCCCGCTCTGGTACCAAAACAGTGCGAGGGTCCGTGATATTGAAGAAGTGCTTCACCCGCCCCAGGAAAGTGGACTGGTCCCAACGGGGGGCATCGATGTTAAAACCAGACAGGTCAGGCTCCATCTTGCTTCGCACACAGAACTGTGTACTTAAGGAAGACAGGAAAAATGAGGACCGTTCCCTAAATCAAAACCTGACCCGGAAGCCCTGGGCATCTCCCACTCTGGAAAACTGCCCGCTTTCACCAGCCACTGCCGTCATCTCACTCAGTTTGGGAAGGACTCAGACTGAGCAACTGGGTACCACCATGTGTTTCCTGAGTGCCTGCTGGTGGCCAGCCCTGTGCTTGATCATGCTGCAGGGAAGACTGGTACACAGTGCCTGTACTTGGGGAGCTGAGTCTGACTGAGGAACAAGAGCCCACAGTGGAACCGTATGTAATATGTACAGCAACAACAATACAGGAGATAAGCAGAAGCAGAGACGGAGGGGCAGAGGAACAGAGTAATCAGAGGGGGCTTCCCAGAAGGAGTGGAATGTGAGGGAGGCCCTAGGAGATAGATTTATCTGAAGGAGGTAGAAGGCATGGGATCACATTAAAGGTAGAAACAATCATAGATAAAGTGGAAATGAACATGGCATGATCACTTTCGTCATTTCAGTGTCTGTGTGTGGTGCATGTGGGCCCTGTGAGAGATTCAGGGCCATGGCTGAGCGAGGCACCATGTCTGCCCTCAAGGAATTTCAGAATAGAGGTTAAACAGGTAAGTAATTCAATAAGGACAGCAGAGTAAACAATGCTGCCGCCAGACCCTGGGAGCAGTGGAAAGCCAGAAAAGAGGCATCTAAGGCTGAGACAACCATATCTCCCAGTTTGCCTAGGAGTGTTGGCCTGGGGTCATTACTAATAGCACCCCTTTCACTCTCAATTTGCATGTGTCCCAATTTGGATGATAAATTAAATGGTCACCTTATCTGAAATAGATGAGGGATTCTTTTTTTTTTTCTTTTTCAGTCAACGGAGCCTTTATTAACATGCAAGTATCATTTGCCACAAGATATACATGTTCTCCTAATCTTTCAGTTCTTTTTAAATATTTTGACTTAAGGTTACTTGTGGATCTAACCTAAAAAGTAACCTACTAAAATCGGTCAAAGTAAAATTTGATTCTAGATCTTACCTTAACCTTTTGTTATTTATATTTATAATTGACATCATTTGTCTCAAGTAACAGAATATAATTCTGGTATTTGATAATCTTCTATACTAAAATATGTGCCAGTATATCTTAAGAAGTTACTAAATATATGGAATTAACATATATATTTAACTGCTTTCAATAAGCTGGGAAGTACAATGTTAAGTTTTCTAAGAGGAAAATCGTTTATAGATCTTGGTTGTTTATGGTTTTTGCAGTTTCCATAAAAACTGGTCCATATTGCCCTAACTGGTTTGGCTCAGTGGATAGAGCATCAGCCTGCGGACTGAAGGGTCCCAGGTTCGATTCCGGTCAAGGGCATGTACCGTGGTTGCGGGCACATCCCCAGTAGGGGGTGTGCAGGAAGCAGCTGATCGATGTTTCTCTCTCATATTGATGTTTCTAACTCTCTATCCCTCTCCCTTCCTCTCTGCAAGAAATCAATAAAATATATTTAAAAACAAAAAACAAAAAAACAAACTGGTCCATATTAAACCAGTCTTGAAGAACTAAAATGGAAACTTAAAAACCCTAATGACAGCCTTGATTTACTAAGATAGAAACAATAATAAACCAAACTACAGTTCTCTTTTCCCAGGCCCAAGCAGAGATGCTCTGTTATAGCTTTTGAAAAATTTTTTGTCTGCTTAGTATAAAAGTTGAATGACCTCTTTATAAGTTAGATATCAGTAGGAGACCCACAGATGATGGGCATATTTATTGGGACACATTTTAATTAATAGAAGATAATTCACATACCGTATCAAAGTGCATTATAAGATTTGCCCTGTATCTGTCCACATGCTTGTCATATTTTATAACATTTCAGTTGGATGCAGGAAGACTGGAATTGTTCACAAAAGTCTAGCTTTTAAGATGTGGGTAAAGTTCACAGTGAGTCTTTTAAAACATTTAAGTAACCAGAAGTATAATCACAAGAAGGAACTATGTAAGAAGAATGAATATTGCAAAGGAAGCTTGATAGTCAGTGAAAATACAGTACTTTGGATTGGCCAATATGCACAATACACATGAAATCAAGGTCATGTACTTTACTTATTGACCCCGTGGCTACAGTTCAAAAGGTCACTACTCTAACAGCCTTACCAAGTAATCTTCCAAACTGCTTTTTAAAAATATATATATATTTATTGATTTCAGAGAGGAAGGGAGAAGGAGAGAGAGAGAAAAAAACATCCATGATGAGAGAGAATCATTGATTGGCTGCCCCCTCCACGCCCCCCGACTGGGGATCAAGCCTGCAACCCAGGCATGTGCCCTTGGCCGGAATCGAACCTGGGACCCTTCAGTCCGCAGGCTGACACTCTATCCACTGAGCCAAGCCGGCTAGGGCCCAAAGTGCTTTTAAATAAAGTTCTTAAATTGTAGGTAGCAATGAACAAAAAGATAAGATACACTTAAAACAATACTGCAGTTTATCAAAAGACACATAAGAAATTTCAACTCATGTCTGACAGTTATAAAAATCAATGTTTGGCTAAGTTATAAACATGTTTATAATGCAATTATTTGCATAATTCTAATAAAAGTAATGACAGCTATAAGATCAGAATAGGTTTAAAAAGAAGAACAACACTAAAAACATAAAAATACATAGCCCCAACATTTACCTGTAGAGTATGTTCATCGATGACTAAATTTCAGCATTTACTATATCGCCACCACTCTAATTTTAAAAATCACATCCAAAGGGTAAGGCAAAACTACTTAGCAACTGACATATTTGTTTATTTCTCAATTTGTGAAAATGTCCTTAATCTGTTGATGTAGCAAACAAATTTCAACTGTGTCATGCAAAAGAAAAGACGATAGTCGGCTTTGCAATGAACTTTAAAGTTCAATCGCACACAGGCAACATGCTATATATGAAAAAATTACTAACTGAACTACAGGTATTAAATACTGAAAAAAGTTAACAGTTTATTATAATTTATTTTATTTAACAATCTAGGAAGTTCGCAGCCATCAGCAGTTCCAGTGCAATTTCAGGTGCAATTGGGAATTCAGGAATCTCCATGGAGCTGTTAGCATAGCGAACCGTGTAAGTAAAATACATGCATACTTTTGATAGCACATGTGAAGGGATCTCTCTAAAATTGACTTCATTAGTTTCCTTCTCAGCAAACTGACCTGGGCCACTCAACATGGCTTGTATCGTTCCTGATGTTAATGCATATTCTCTTTTTACAATAAATGCATGACCATCTGAAGACATCAACTTGACATACATGGCATCAGGGCCTTCACAGCCACCATAGGCTTTCTCTTCTCCACTCGTCAGCCCCGCAGCCACCGCAGCCACCGTGCCAGGTCCCCACGCGTCACCACAGCCCCCGCTCCAGGGCCACCCCTCCACCCCCCACAAGCCTGCCGCCGTGAGTTCCAGGCTAGATGAGGGATTCTGAACACACTTTGTTAGTAAGAGAAATAAGCAATGTTTTGGAAATATGCATAGACGTTAAATAGATGGAAAAGCAGTATTTCAAGCAAAAAGAAGAGCCAGCACTGAAAGCTCATGGTGTGCACAATGTCATTCCTATCCTCACAACAAGAAAAAAAGCTGAACAAACTAAAAATCAACAACTCTTCTTAGCCCCATCAGAGAATTGAGATCACAGGGCAAACCACTGCCCCAAACCTGGAGACAGGCAGGTAAAGAGACACACAGCTCATTGAGAGAAGCCCACTGCCAGGGCAAGTACCACTGGAAAACTTAAACTGTAATCAACAAATTTCTGGAGCTCGATTGGGGACTCAATCTTGGGGGACACTACTTTTGTGAGTTTTACCTCCAGAAGCCCACTAGGTTCTCAAGGTGAAGATCAGAAAAATATCTCCTAGTGCTTCTGGCAGCCAATCAAGGATTCTCTCTCATCATTGATATTTCTATCTCTCTCTCCCTTCCTCTCTGAAATCAATAATTTGTTTTAAAAAGAGAGAGAGAGAGAGAAAGAAAATAATTTAAAGAGAATAGAATAGCCAAGAACCTTGGGACAATTACAAAAGATGTGGCAAACACATAATGGGAATACCAGAAGGAGAAGAAAGAAAAAGAAGAAATATTTGAAGAAGTAATGACTGAAAATTTTCCAAAATTAATGACAGACACCAAACCACAGATTCAGGAGTCTCAGAGAACACCAAGCAAGATAAATGCTCCAAAATCTACATTTAGGCATATTATATTCAAGCTGCAGAAAATCAAGATAAAGAATATCAAGAAAGAAGCCAGAAAGAGGGGATAAAAAAACCTTACTTAGAGCAAAGAATTACATCAGACATCTCTTTAGAAACCATGTAAGCAAGAGAAGAGTGAAATATTTACTAGTAAGTGTTGAAAGTACAAAACAACAACCCATGAACCTAGAATTCTACATCAAACAAAATGATCCTTTAAAAATAAAGGAGAGCCCTGGCCGGCTTGGCTCAGTGGATAGAGCATCGGCCTGCGGACTGAAGGGTCCCAGGTTTGATTCCGGCCGAAGGCACATACCTGGGTTGCAGGCTGCATCCCCAGTGTGGGGTGTGCAGGAGGCAGCCAATCAATGGTTCTCTCTCATCATTGATGTTTCTATCTCTCTCCTTCTCCCTTCCTCTCTGAAATCAATAAAGAAATATATTTTTTTAAAAAAAATTAAAAAAATA